ACAGCGTGGGGGGGGGGGGAGGGGCAGAGAGCGAGGGAGAGAGACAATCCCAGTCTCCAGGCTATCAGCGCAGAGCCCAATGTGGGGCTTGAACTCACGAAACTGTGAGATCGTGACCTGAGCCGAAACCAAGAGTCAGATGGTTAACCGACTGAGCCACCCAGGCACTCCTAGTATCTGTACATTTTTATTTTTATTTATTTTATTTATTATTTTTTTTACATTTATTTATTTTTGAGACAGAGAGAGACAGAGCACAAGTGGGGGAGGGGCAGAGAGAGAAGAAGACACAGAATCCAAAGCAGGCTTCAGGCTCTGAGCTGCCAGCACAGAGCCCGACGCAGGGCTTGAACCCACAAACCGTGAGATCATGACCTAAGCCAGTCAGACGCTTAACTGACTGAGCCACCCAGGCGCCCCATCTGTACATTTTTAAAAAAGTGTTTATTTATCTTTGAGAGAGAGAGTGTGAGCGAGAGAGGGGCAGAGAGAGAGAGGATCCGAAACCGGCTCTGTGCGGACGGCAGAGAGCCCGAGGTGGAGCTTGAAACTCACAAACCCTGAGATCGTGACCTGAGCTGAAGTCGGACACGCAACCTACGGAGCCACCCAGGCGCCCATAGTATTTGTACATTGTTTTGATTGAAAATGTGATACGCTAAAAAAGTGATACGTTAATTCAGACTAGAGTCCTAATAACTCATTGGTTCTTCCCTCCCACAGTAATTTGCATTTGAAAAAGAACAAGCCCACAGAACAGAATACAGACCCCAAAGAACAAATCCAGGGGCGCCTGGGTGGCTCAGTGGGTTATGCGTCAGACTTTGACTCAGATCATGATCTCACAGTTTGTGAGTTTGAGCCCCACATCCGGCTCAATGCTGTCAGAGCACAGCCCACTTTGGATCCTCTGTCTCCCCCCCCCCCTCTGCACCCTTCCCCCTCAACATACTGGTCTCAGACTCGGGACCTCTGGGTCGGTGAAACAGTAGATTTCTGGGAAGCCACCCAGTTTGTGGTACTTTGTGACAACGACCCCAGGAAACTAGAATTGTCTTCAGATGTTGGGCAGACATTCGAAAGGAGTGGAGTGGACGTGGCCTGCAGGCCTCCACACTGAGGGCGTTCCAGAAGCTAATCACCCTGTCAGGAGCTAGAATCAGCAGGCCAGCAGGTGAGGGTGGAAGGCAGACCCCAGAGGAGACAGGTGTCCCCAGCCTTAGCAAGGAAACCCACGAGGACAAGGAGGCTGCCCGAAAGATAGAGCTAAGCTGATCCCAACCACGGCAGAAACAGAAACTCTGAACACTCCCTGCGAGCAGCCAAGAATCCCGTGTGACCAGTCCGCCCTCCCGGATCTCCACAGGCGGCACACCCCACAACCCACAACACCCGGCACGGTCACGAGCATCTAGGAAACCCTCAGAACGGAAAGCCACATCTGGGACTGTCCTGAACACAAGTCTTAAGGGGAGTTTGTAGAGTTGGACACCTCCCCTTCCCTGCCCTTGTAGCCTCCCAGGCGGAAAGGACTCAAGGTCAAGGGAGGCCTCGAGGCTCTGCAATTCAACTTGGGAGCTGCGATCTCCCAGGGAGGATTGCTTCCGGGAACGGGAACGGAGGGATGGTGGGGATCCTATCCTAATAAAAGCAAGTCATGTGCCATCTGGCGGCCTTGGCCCCACGTTTCCTGAGAGCTGGAGCTGGGCCCAGTGAATGCCTGCTTTCTTTCTCTGAAGCAGAAGAGAGGCTCTCAGGAGTGTCTCCCTGGGGAGGCTGCCTGGGGGAGGAAGCGGTGGCTGGGAGAGATGGAAACACAGTCTCTTTGACCTGTGAGACAGGTATTGCCTTCAAGCCGAGCTACCCAGTGGCAATCTGGTCAGATCAAGCCTGGTGGGCCTTGCTGGGCACAGGGGCCGGTTGCTAGGACTAGGCTTGGGGGAGGAAGCCTGGAGAGGGCTTCAAGACGTTTTCTTTCTCCGGTTTTCTTTCTCATTGGGGCAGGCCACCTACCGGGTCCATTGGTAGGATACTCAAACTTTATCAGCAAGAGGCCTGTCTTCCCGGCTGGGAGGCAGGACTCCTGGATTTACTTCTCCGCTCTGTTGGGAATTGGTTTGACAGCTTGGGCAAGACCCTTCACCCCTCGGGGTTTGGGTGACCCCAACTGTCAAAGGGCCACAAGCATCTTGTTCTTGCCCAATCCTGTCTCTTGGGCCAGGGCTGCTGATGGGTGAGTTTCTGCATCAGATAAGGTTCTTTAGAGAGAGGCGGGGGAGAGGCGGCCTGGGAGCTGGGAGGTGAATGACAAGAAGGAGGGGGGTTACAGCGGAGACGGTGGAGGTGAGGGGGGCAGGAGAAGAGGCGCCAGGGAGGACAGAGGAGCCATTGTGCAGGCTGGAACCCGGGCCAGAGGGCTTTGCCCTTCACCTCCCTCCCACTGGGCCCCCGGAGGCCGGATAAAGAGCCCAAAAGGCTGCCCCGCCTCCCCTCGCCCGCAAGGTTTCTGGTCAACCCCGCCTCCACCCGACTCCCTGCGACTCCGGCGGGGCTCCAGCCTGGGGCGCCTGGAGGAAGCGCGGGACCCTGTAGCAGGCGAGCTCTCTCACCAGGGACTCATGCACAGCCACATCTTCCCTTCCCTGTGCCTCAGTTTCCCACCAGACTCCAAGGTTTAAAGCAGCAGCTCTTCAGGCCTGATGGGGGAAGGGGGAGGCTGGCCTGGCCTTCTCCGTAGCCACCTCCCTCCAAGGCCGAGATCTCAGGGGGAAAAAAGCGCGTCCCGCTTTTTCGAAAGCGCCTAATCCAGACTTAGACCCTAGCCTGCGCCGGAGGGGAAGAGAGGGGACGGAAGGGCGGGAAGGGGAGGAGGGGAGCAGGGGGGAGGGGCGGGTGGGCTGGATCAGGTCCTCAGGCTCCCGCACTGAGCCTCCTCCTCCGCCGCCGCTCGCGTCCCCGCGTCGCGTGACCGCGGCACTGCGGCTGCAGCGCTGCCCTTCCCGTGCCGGTTTCCTGCGGAGTGGGGGTGGCGGGCCTGGAGGTTCAAGACCAGACCGCGGCCGCGGCCGCGGCGCTGCGAGAGGGTGATGGCGCTCCAGCTCCCTCCCCACGTTCTTAGTTTTACGGAGTTTCTCGACCCTCGAGCGCATCGCTGAGTCACTTTCTCGGAACGCGCTCGGGACGCTCGGGACCCAGCCAGGGCCGCCCGGGGGCCGCGCAAGGCGGAAGCGCGCACCGCTGCGACGCGCGCCGAGCCGCGCGTCCCCGGGCCCGCGCCTCCCTCCTAGCCGGCGACCGCGGGCTCCGCCCCCCCAGGTGCCGGGAAACCGGGACCCGCTGCCTGCGTTCCCCGGAAGAGACCCCGCGGAGGCGTGCCCGAGTTGCGACTTTCGGGGGCGTTGACAAGTGCCAGGTGTGCGTGGGCCGCGTGGCTGCGGGTGCGGGCGCGCGAGCCCGCAGCAGCCTGGGCCCAGACCGCCTCCGCCCGCTACAGGCGTTAGGCCCTTCCTAACTTTGGCCTCACCTGGTCAGGGCGCCTAGTCGGCTTTGACCCCTTCCTCCTCCGGGTCTCCGCAGATAACCCCCCCGGGGACTCAACTCGAGTTGGTCGCGGACACGTTCAGGTCAGACACTTTCTCCTGATATGTATGTATATCTCTCACGCACGCACTGACACGCGCTTCCCGCTCTGCCTCCGTCGAAGTGAAGGTTCCCCCGGCGCGCTTGCATTTTCCCACTGAGCCAGGGGAGGCGGCGGGGGACACTCCGCCGCGGTTTGGCTCTCCAATCCCGACGGGGACCCCTAGACCTTGTTCACACCTCACGGCGGGTGAGGGGCGTGGGCCTGGATCGCCTGCTGCGGGACAGCTTCTCTCGCCCCGGTGAGCCTCGATGGTTTCCTCTGGGGAAAAAGATCCAAATTTTAAGGTTCTTGACAAGGCCCCCTCCTCCGGACAGCAGCCACCCCACCCCACCCCCAACCCCGGCGGGTCCCCTGTCCCCTCCCCCCGCCCCCCGACGGCGCGCCTGACTGCCGTGGGCTCGGTGGCTGCGCGACCGATCTGCCGCGCCGGGAAGCCAAAAATACTCCTCCGGGGGAGAACGGGCGAGGCAGCAAGAGACGCCCCGGCACAGAGGAGGGGTACCCGGTGGGGTCTGGGCCTCGAATTCCGGGGGACTGCGGTGGGGCGCACGAAGGGGGAAGATCCCGGGGCGGGAGGTCGCAGCCTCCAGGGGCAGCCGAGGGTCTGCCCGGAGCGCTGAGCCGCGCGCGCCTGGAGCCCCACAGGGGCGGCTTGGACTTCGGGCGGCGCGGCGAGTTCGCGCGGGGCCCGCGCTGCGCGTTCACCCTTGCGCGTCCGGGACTCTGAGCTCGCGGCCGCCGCTCGTGGCCGGACCCCGGGCTCTGCGCCTCGCCGACTCCAGCCCGGCCGCGGCGCCGCCTTCTCGCC